TTTCATATAAAAAAAAAAAATTGAAGGAAACCAAACAACAATTTAGCATTATTTTGGCGTTTTATATTTGGTCAAAACCGCTAAAACAACGGTTTGGCCCAAAAGGCCAAAAAACAAACAACCCTTCGAAATGTTGGTGTATTGACATTTTAAGACTTTTTAAAGTCTTGAGGTATTTATTTGAAATTTTAAAAATTCTTACAAAATCATGAAGTATTTAAGTTATTTGAAATTATGATTTGTTAAGACTCTTTAAGGTTTGCTGGGATTTCAAAACAAAAAAACATATATGAAATCTCACTTCAAATTCCACTTTATACTTAAGATTTTACAGTATTCCTCCTGAATCTGAAAAATCTTAAAAAGTCCCAAATCTCAAAATGTCACTCAAAATTTAAAATGAATGCACCCCTTTTAGGGCGTGCTTCGATATAAATATATAAGCTCAAAATGTGTTTTTCTTGGTTAATTTTGAAAAAAAAGTGGTATCCCCTTATATATAATTACGGAATGCGTTGAGCTTAAATGGCAGCTTCGCATGCTTCGTAATATTATGTGACAAAATACTACGCTTTGTAATATGGCTTGGATAAAATTACTACTTTTTTATGCTAAATAGCTTAGGTTTGCATTGACATAAATATACATATTTAATATATTTAAAATATTCCATATAAATATGTTTATTGTCTTCTTTTTATAATGTGCATATTATTTCACTTTTCTATATTTTTTTTTTGTCCATATTATTTTCTTAGTTTCAAATAATTTTAAATAAATCTAATGATGTATACAAATTAGTTTTCAAAATATAAAATAATATTTTTATTTCACTTAAATATTCATTATAAATTGTTATATATTATTCTTTATTTATTTTTTCAAATTCAACAACATATAAACATATTTATCTTTGTTTTACATTTAATATGTTATCAAATACTTGTGTAGTACACGGATATCGTACTAGTTGTTAGTTGTTAATGAGATTTTGAGTTTATATTAAACTAATATTTGAAATAAAATAATTGAAACAGACTTGATGTAAAAGTATGAGAGAGATGATGTGAATAGATGATTAGTTGAAATTATGTGAAAGGATGAATATTGTGAGTTAAAGTCGATGTGATGTGTAACTGATATTAAAGTTGATATTAATTGATATTATTTAGTTATATTGATAATATTGAAGATAGTAGAGTTGTATTAATGTTGAGTTAGATTTTGGGTATTGGTTGAGTATGAATTGAGAAAATTTATAAACAAACACACTCTTAAAATTTCATTATATTCCTCATGAAATTTTTAAAAGTCTCAAATCTGAAAAAGTCACATAATGTCAATTAGAATCCCAAAACGAATATACTCACATTAAACTCATTGAGTACATCGGGTAGTGTAAAAGTAACAATAGTTATCACCTCTAACCTACGACGATGGAGAGAATAAAAATCAGGAGTAATACACTCACTCCCCTCCAATAGCCCTTTAGGTTAACAAATCACTAACAACACAAGCATTACAGTCCAAAACAAAATAACAAGAATAAAAAAGACTCGTGGAGATAAATATCCTCATCAATAATACCGCAAACAGAGTTAAATAAACTCCTCCTATTAAGCTTGCTGACAACATCTTGATCATTCAAACAACAACAAATACTCATCAACTCCAACTGAATCGCATTCTCCATCATCTATCAAGTTGTTGCAAGAAGAGCCTCCACTGAATCTTCAAAGAAATCCCTAGATGCAAATGCAACTCATTCTTGAAGAACTTCAGCTCCCTTAGTTGCAGTTCCTGCCATTCCTATCTTGTACTTGTAGAGATTAGAGCATTGATAGCTAAGAAGCACTGCCCTACCCATTTGTAAAAGCTCTCACCCAGATGCAAAGGTCTTCCAACCAAATCCCCTACGACTGTAACTTCTTAATGGCTAAAAATTCAATCCACTATTTTCTTACTTCATCCACCAATTCTTTCTCTTTCACCCACTTCTTGTTAAAATGACAGTTGTTTCTTATTCTTCAGAGCCACCAAAGTAGATAGGTATAAAGATCCATTTTATCTTTGAGGCATTTAACATCATCAATGTTTCAAATTTCCAGCCACCAGTCTTTGAAGTAAGTACTTTTCTATTCCAGCATTGCCCAGCTAACCCTACTCATCTTCCAACACTTGATTGCTCTGGGGCACCTAAAAAAGAAATTCTCAAGATCTTCTTCACCTTCTCCCTAGTTGTCATAAATCATCCCCACTTACATTCCTCTTTTTCCCAATTGTTTTTTAGTGATCAAGTACCCAAACCACTTCTCCACACAAAATTCTCCAATTTATTTTTGATTGGTTGATTCCATGTAACATTCA